GGACTGCCCGGCCTGGAGCAGAGCAGGCTCAGGGGATCTCCCCTGTATGGATAAATACCTGGAGGGAGGATGCAGAAAGGACGGGGCCAGGCTCTGCTCAGCAGTGCCCAGGGACAGACCCAGGGGCCATGGCACAAAGTGACACACAGGAGGGGCCCTCTGAGCATCAGGACACACTTTTCCACTGTGGAGAGCTCTTCTGGACTGACCCAAAAGCAGGGTTACTTGCTTAAGTTGATGTTCCCCTGCCCCAAACAACCACTTCTGTAATTAAATGTTGTCTTATTTTGCTGCTATTTAATACCTTTGAAATGAGTCAGGTCAGGTTGACCTGCTGCCCACGCTACTTCTGATTCAGCCCAGGGTACAGCTGACTTTCTGGGCTGCCAGTGCAGTTGGCCAAGTCACATCCAATTTGTCATCCATCAGGACTCCCAAGTCCCTCTCCCCAGGGCTGCTCTCAACTCACCCAGCCTGTGCTGGTACTGGGGCTTGCTCTGACCCAGATGCCCAACCTTGCACTTGGCCTGGTTGGACAGCATGAGGTTCACATGAGCCCAAGTAGTTTTGGGGTTTCACAGAATCATCATCCCAGAATGGTTTGGGCTGGAAGGGACCTTAAAGCTCATCTCATTCCTCACCCCTGCCGTGGGCAGAGACACCTTCCACTAGTCCAGGTTGCTCCAAGCCCCGTCCAACCTGGCCTTGGACACTTCCAGGGATGGGGCAGCCACAGCTTCTGTGCCAGTGGAACAGGTTTCTTTACTCTTCCCATATGTACCCCAGTGCCAACTTACAAATTTCCTCTGCTTTACTGCCTCAGGGTTGAAGGACGCCCTTCAACGTGATGTCGCCATGGCTGTTCCAGTGATGGGGCAGCTCAGACCCAGCAGTTTTGGCAGCTGCTTAAGGCAGCACTTCTGGGAGCCCCATGCTAGAGCCTGTGGCAGCTCCCAGCTGGGGCCAGCAGTGCCCTCAACTGGGACCAGCCACCAAGTCCAGCCCACTTGTGGCACTGCGAGAACCTGGGCTGGTCACACAAGGTGATCTCCTGGGATCAGTGGGGCTGAACATCCCTCCTGAATGCACCTATCCCCAGAAGACAGTGCCCACAGCCCCAGCATCAGCCTGCCTGCCCCAAAGTGACACTTGTGAGACGTTCACTTTGCTGGGCATTTCAGGGAAGGAGGATTTTATAAAGCATCCTTCCTCACAGCAGCCTGGTAATTTGCTCTGGAAGTGGGAGAAGTGTAGTTTTTCCCTGGCACAGCATGAAATTAGGAAAGGAGCTTAGCATCCGTGGGTTGGTCTGG